TTTTATATGTAAGGAAAAATACATATTTTACTAATTATAATTAGTAAAAAATTTAAGCGTTGCATTATTTTTGATTGTCACTGTATATCATATATTATAGGAAAGGATTTTATTTTTTTCTAGAATTTTATTTTTTATCTAGATAACTTAGATGGAATTATAACAAATATCAAAGAACAAGTTAAAATAAAATTAAATCTTTTTCTTTCATAATATTATCTATTCAAGCTAATATATTTTTATCTAGATGAAACCTGAACAATTTTTTTTCTTGGATGTGAACAGATCTATTTTAAATACATTCTAGAATAGTAAACATGAGCAATTACATTTTGATAGCATTTTTAATAGCATAACTGGATAATATTTTTTAATAGTATTTATGTAACATACTTAATAATATTTTTTGATAGCATAGTCTGATAGCATATACATAGCATTATCAATGGCATTTACATAATATACTTAGCTTACATATTAATCAATAGCATAACTAGCTATTATGTATATAGCATAATCAGATAGCATACATATAGCATGTCCTGATTGCATTAATTTTTCTATTAAAAATTCTATGTGATATATAAAATGACAACAATACAAGATTACAAAAGCAAGCTAACTCAAGCTATTGATAAAATTATAATGCAAAAGATTGAGGAAGTAGACTGCAATATTAAGCTATTAATAAACTCTTAATACAGGAGATTGGAAAGGGTTTCAAAACTTATATAGAAAAGCTAGAGCAAGATTACGATTCTGAGTCTGAAGATGAATTAAAAGATATTATATCTATTCGTAGACCCGCAATCAAGAATCCTGTTACTACCAATGATATGTAAATTGCAAGATGTAATCTTACTTTTTTTTGCCTTCTCTGATCCACCCGTTAAACTCGCGATAAGGGGAACAAGTGAGCATAACCTATCTCAACTATTTCCTTACAATCGAAATCGAATATAATCACCATTTACTATATAAATTTTGCTATCAAATATAAAATTCTAGAAGCTTTAAAATATCATACAGAGTAGTCGCCCATTGCTCGTCATAACCTAAATCAGTATTTACCTTACAACGGAAATCACCAAAATGATATATTATTTATCATATACGAGTTCATAACGAAATCAGTCATGATTATCAAATCGATATATATATATAATAGTTCGCGTGTGGCGTAAAAACCAACCCTCGAGTGTGGCGTAAAAAATGAATCACGCCACACACCTGAGTGGGAATAACCTATACTAAGTGGAAATAACATAATTATGTTATTTCCACTCCAATAACTTTTTGTAACTTTTTAAAATATAATTATATTTACTTTCTTTGTAATGAATTAATTTTCTTCAAAAAGATATTTAATAAACTTGATACTAGAATATTAGAAGCTGAAGTATTTGATATATATCTGATATTGTTTATTAGAAACAAAAATACTTAATAAATTTGATGCTTGATTGTTAATAATAAAATATAAGGATGAGATAACGGGAAAAAAACACAAAAATAATTCTTGAATTCAACTAGGTGAAGGAATATACATGTACATGTAATTAAGCAACAGGTTTAACTAATTTGGATATTTCACAGTGATCAAAAAACCTTTCGAAGTAGTTAGCTTGATTGGATCGTCTAGCCGGTTATGATCCCTAGTCAGTTTGAAGCATTACATTATCAAGTCAGATGACTCGATCGACAAAAATTTTATTTCCAAAAGACTACAGTCGCCTCTGTTTAAACCGAACCGATAGTTCTGGTAAAAAAAGAGGTTGGTATAGAAAATTACTATGTTTTATATAGAGCCCGTTACTCTTTTAAACCGAAATTTTAAAATTTAAAGTTCGGTTACGAAATAAAGAGAGTCGGTATAAAGAAGTTGACTGTACATGTATCCATATATTAACATTAACGTGTTTCTATTTTGACGCTAAATTAGCATTCATATTATTTTGTATGCTAAGAATGCTGGTTTAATATTTATTTACAAATTAAGAAATAAAATAATAAAATTAAGATTCAAAATAAATTACAAAAAAATTAAATCGTCCAAACAAAAGTCCTAAAAATGCTTTAAACTGAATTCCTTCTATTTCTAAAAGGACTGACCAGCAACACTACTACTAGCTTCTGGGAATGAAGACGCTCCAAACACCGTAGCTTCATCGTCAACCGACTGACGAGCAGTAGTGACAATGGTAGGTGGAGGCGGCGGCGGCAGATCACTTGCATTATCCAAAAATAATTGTTGTTCTGTTCCTGAAGCATCTAATTCATCTTCTGGCGAAGTTGGAGGTATTCCAGCGCCATCTTCGTCACCTTCATTGGAGGATTGCTGTCTTCTTTTGCCAGGTGCAGATGCGTGTGAATCTCGGTTAATAAGAAAGCTTAGGGCAACGTAAAGTTTAGCGAGTACATTATGTGTTACTACGATTGTCGACGTTATAAGTGTCAATAGTGGGATTACATTGTAACTGTATGTAAGGCTTTGGTTTTCATAATATAAAACCTATAAAGATTATGAATAATATTAAATTTTTTTCTTCGAGAGATTTTAGTCAAAAAAAATCTTTACCTGAAACACAAGTTGCGGAATATCCTCAATCAATAATTTCAAACCCGAAATCCAAAATATAAAAGCACGAGCTCGATCAGAAACAGGTGCCTTAAACATTTTCGCACCAAACAGATGTGACCACAGTAATCGCATGACTTCGACATCCACCAAACCAAAAAAGGTCATAAGAACGGCAATATTTGTGTTTGTTCGAAACCATTTTCTGAACAGTTGGCTGCCAATTGTTTCGATACTTAGAATTATAATAGTTACTGTGGCATTTATTGCTGACGGTATGACTAGGACTAGTAGACTATAGGATGAAGATGAGTGTGGGTGAATGTTGGCAAGGAGATCTCAGGGAATTTATTTTTCTTCTCACCTTGGTAAAAATAACCACGGCACATCTTTTCCATGTTTTACCAAAAATGTAACATCCAATGCGAAATCACATAATATAAGCGCGACGAAAAGTATCAAAACATTATTGGCCTGAAATATAGAGAATTTAGAAAATGTAAATACAAAATGGCAAATGCATGTATATGAAATAATTACCCCGGGATTTATCCGATGTGCAAATATGAAGAGGAAAATCAATAACGTGAAACCAATAATCGCACCAACAAATATGAATTTCAATCGTTTCGGTAGAGATTCTAAGAAATATAAACGAAAAATATAAAATTTGCCTCGACTCAATCTACGAGCATAAATCTAAACGAAACTCACCATACTTCACAAAGCCATACTCAGGATCCAAATACTTTGTCAAAGAATACGCTGAAATCGGTGACACGTCTTTATTCTTGACCAATGTATCTAAATCATCACTGATCTGATTGTCGTTGCAAGAGATCGTGATCGAAAATAAATATTTTTTTCTATTTCCGCTATTGTTTTTTGGATCATATTGGAAATTGGGGGAAATTGAAAGTCGAGAACTATCGATTGGAATACTGGTTGCGAGTTGTGAGGTTAGATCGAAAAGGAACCGCTTTGTCGAGTCTAATGAATCATAGTATTGGGTGCCGTCTGTTGTTAGACGGAGAAGACCGGATACGCTTTCTATATATTGATAAACTGTTAATTTGGTGAAAATTTTATGCATTTATCTAAAGTATTTTAATTTTTACCGTCACCAGCACAAGAAATATTATGTGCCACTAATTAAGAATATAAATATTTTAGTATTGTCAAATAACGAATTAAAGAAATAGAAATGAAAGACTTACCATCACTGACATCCAAAAATTCTTCCCTTTCCTGAATACCAAACAATGGCTCCCCAGTTTTCGCCAATTTCACAGCGCCTGAAGTCATCTCTATATAATATTTGTTCGATTGATGATTAAATGTACTTGATAGCACTTGGAGATACAATGTTGTTCCATCATCGTTGAGACTAATGAATGAAGAAGATTTTCCTGACTGAATCGCAACTTTTTGACGTAATATATCGGTATTATTATCATCATCATCACTATAGTTTGCATCGGTGGTATCGATGCTGTTCGTTTGATATATAGTAATGTTTCCTGTTGAAAGTTCAATTGATTGGTTGAATGTTATCGAGATATTATTCGTTGCGATTACGTTGATAGAATCGATGAAAGGATTTTCGTAGCCATTTTCTTTATTTTTAAAATTAGGAGTAAAAAATAACGAATTTAAGCAAGGAGTAAAAATAAAATTTCATCAATAGACCATTAAAATACTTACGAGTCGAAATAAACGACTGTAACTGCGTCGTAACAATTGACCAAGTGTTATTGACAGGTTGGGTAATTTGCCAAACAGTATTATTTGGAAAAATACCGTATATTGGTGTAAACTGGCTACTGATTTGGTCAGTGAAATTCCACAATGAAACGAAATTTCCGTCATTAGAGTACACAGATCCGGAAATGTTGAAGTTCCCCTCTTGCCAGGATTGTTTTATCGTTCTTTGCAAATAACCGCCTCTTGGCAATGCATCAAAAGAATAATATTCAGAATTACCAGTAATATTTTGGTCCCTTATAATATTAAACCTTGACACGGAGCTCACTGAACCACTAGAGAAAAATGAAATTTTGATCCAATATTGGTCAAAGTTTGCCAAGATTTGTATTGTTTGTGTTGACAGAATACATGAGTACCCTGTATTTACTAAGTCGACATTGCATTCTATCAAGTTTAGGAATTGTAGTGGGATGGCTGACTGGTATATAAGAAAGGGGTCCGAAAATTGTTCTTCTGTATCAATGAACGTAACATAGACACGATAGCTGAGTTTTGTTGGATCTAATATCGTGCTGTCGCCTTCACCTGCGTTTGTTATTTCAGATTAATATTAATTCGTAGTTTAATTTTCAATGTTAAATTATAAAGATTACCGTTTATTATGTAAATAGCGCCATAACCACCATCGACTAGAGGAAACAAAGTCGCGGGAGCAACTGTAAAGTTGCCAATATTCGATGAAATAAGCTCTGGATTATTAGTTTCCTTTTTGTCTCTACAATGATATTTCAAATATTCAACATTTTATCGAAATATCAAATTAGAAGCAGATAAATAACGAAATACAGACGAAAAGGTACCGACAATGTAAGCTTGATTAAATTCATGCCCAGAATGTAAAAGAAGCTTTTGTAATTCGTGTCCGGAAGCGTGTTTCTGTACAGTGTTCCAGTAGTATATATGCCGTTTATTAAATTCGATTGACCTAATGCCATATTGCTATATATGGAAAATATTTTTAATATTTTTAGAATTTTTATCGAACGAGAAGAATTGAGAACTTACGAAGTAATGCTTCCATCCCACTTTACGAGCATTCCATACAACCGTACATCCTCCGTATTATTATCATCCTTCGCCAAATACGTGACAAACACAAAATTGTCTATTAACGCCTCAACATTTATATAATCCGTATGTCCCTCCATCGGATTTTCAGAAATTGTATCTTTACAGAAATTCCACGGTTGAAAAGGAAATGTGACATTAAAGAGCAGCGTGTTCCCGTCCGGCTGTATAATTAAAAGGGTTACGGTAGGCTTGTTGCATGTTTGATTCAAGTATTGTGTGAGACGAAGTAGTATCGTTCCGTCGGCGTATTGACTTTCATGGTTTATGGTTAAGTTTTCGATTTCCGGAAATGTGAGTGTATTGGCATCCACTGGTATTATTACTGTTGTCGTTATTATTGAGATTATTAATGTAAGAAAACAGAGAGTGTACGATGAAAGTTTCAGTTTTGTTGTTGTATTTAACAGTTTGAATGGCGAGATTATAAAATCTGGTATTGATATTGTTTTTGATTTAAATCGGGATTTTATTTTATCTCTGAAATTGTTATTTTTACGAATTAGATTCATTATTCGAATTAAACTATTTAAGGGAATCCGTAAAAAAAAATATGTACGTATATCAAGATTTGTGATGGTGAAAAATAAAAGATATTAGTCGTCGTTATGATATATTATTTTTTCTTCGGGTCAAAATCAAAAAAGTAAATTTTAAATTGGAATTTAACAAAATACGAGAATGATAATGAAAAATCGGGTTAAAATTGAGAATAATAAATTTTTCATTATACATAAATACGCACATAACATAACATAGACTACAACTAATACATCCTCAAATTTTTTTTGATTCATGATTTTTATTGAAAAAGAGTTCGAAGAAGAATTAATAATTACTATTCACATCACATTACATGGAGCACACTTGAAATAGAGAGCACAGATCATTCCAAACAACCAAATTAACGATAAATAATAAAAATCCGTTGTCTAAAATGATATACGTAAAAACAATGACAGTATTTAATATTAAGGATAATAACTAAACAGTAGCATATCAGCTTACAAATAACCAAACAAATAAACAAATGAATATAAATTTTTTGGTTAATGCCATTGGCATTATTAATTTTTGTTCCATTATTGTCTATCTGCCTTGTAGATCAACGGTAAAATAAGGGGAGCGACACAAGAAGTATATTGATTTGGTATAGGAAGGGGAGGGAGATGTTACGTTTAATTAATAATCTATTCCAGTGCATGATACAAAGGGGAGGGAGCAGCGATTAAAGCAAGTTTCTTCCGAATGGGATCTTGTGTGCTGTACAATGTACGTCGGCATCGGTGTTCGATCAATTAAGTCTCTATAGATATTCAAAAAAGAATGTTTGAATCATTGGCTTAGTTGCTTTTTCATCCCACTAATACAGTAATGATTTCCATATACCGAAACATAAGATCGCACAGCCTTTTTGACGTCTGCCGTTCTATTAATGTATTGTAAATTCGATATAGTGAACTCAATAAATATAATTTAGTTCGTTACGTTATAAAAAGTGATTGTGTACAATTGTTCGCTCCAAATGCTCATTAAACGGGTATATTTTATTTATTTACAGGAATTAATATTTTGCTTAGATGAATCAAGTCTACTATTTAAAGACCGTAAAAAAGACATGTGGCAAAGTGTTGCTTAGCATCAAAGGAAAGAAATAAGCAGTAAGCCTCTTTCTTTTCTATCTTGAACTCATTCTTCAGAAGGATCAATATTTATTTCGCCATATGCTAGTGCTAACATATTGTGCTGGACTCTTTTAATCCACTAGTCTTCTTAAATTAAAAATATACTGTTTTGTATTGGTATAGATTAAAATTATTAATATATAGTGAATTTCAAAGATAAAAAAAATCCCGTTGATGTTTTGCTATTAATTTAATAGTATAATGATGACTCGCAGGCAAATGTAAATTTAATATCGAAGTTCAATTCCAAGGAAATAATCAAATTTCAGGAAATAGAGATAAACTTTTAACTTTTCAGTAGATGAAGGTAAAATTTAACCGAAATTTGTTGTATTTTACAAATACATGTAAAATGAATCTAAATATTAACGTATATTATTAAATTTACTTAATTTCTTCTATTTGCGCATTCTCGTTAAACTTTAGGGGATTTAATGAATCAATAATAATAATCATTCCTTTAATTAAGGATATAATGGTCTTTTTTTACCCACATTTCACGTATACTAATATATTAATTAAATCATGATACCAACAAACTGAGATTGGTTAGGAATTAAAAGTCAATCAATAATACATGTAATGTCAACCTAAAACAGAATTAACAATATAATAATAACATGAAAATGAATTATTAGTGTTTTCATGACTCGAATTAAAGCCACCAAGAAAAAGATTAAGCTACTATTTAATTAGTCGTATCTGGTAAATAATATGTATGATCATCATTGATAATTACAATCAATCTATCCTCTACTTTTATATTAAAACAAAATTGAGAGTTTGAAAGAAAGTTTGTTTCTGTGTTTGTTTATGTATATCCCTCGCGAACTACTTACTGCTAATTGTCTTGAGAGAGCGAGAGCTTATGTTAAACCCCGATGGTGATGGTGATGGTGATGGTGTTGATGATGAAGAAGATGATGATTGTTTATTACACAAATAGGGAAGGGGATAAAGATGAAAGTAGATGAATGGAAAGGTGGAAAGGTTTTTATCCTCTAATGAAAATTGCTTTTTCAAGTCCGCCCATTCGCGTTGATCTACCACTTCTATCAACATGATCCAGTCCTAGAAAGTCATCGGGATTCCATGTAAGCTCGGACAAGGTTTCTGATTATTAACGATAAACGAGAATATTGATTAAAAGTTAATCGACACATTGCTTAAAACAGAAAGGAGAGATTATTCATTCACCTTCTTCTAGTATCGGTCGCGGTTTTGAATATGATGCATTTGGTACAATTGCAAATTTAACCTTTGCAAAGTCTTTTTCGTTCATACCAAGACGTGCTTGAAGGCGATCCTTGGTCTCCGAAAATGGTTCACCCTGTTATATATAATATTATCACATTATATCAATACTATGTGTATTTCGTTTTATCAAAAAGTAAGAAAAAATTGTTCTACCGCTTTGATTAAAAATTTAAAGGGGATCCCATGGGTACGTAAAGGTTCTTTGGTAAAGTGATAAACTTGTACGACACGATCTTCAGGTCCACTTTGTATCTCTTCCTCGGGTATCTCCTATGAAAATACAGGAATGAATTAAATATTAAAGCATCCCTCATCCCAATTCACAAACAATAATTTATAATACATACTTCAGCATATAATGATACGTATTCCGGTATATTTGCTATTGGGTCGGTATCGGCTAATTCTTTAGAAATTTTGTGATTCACTACTTCACATAATCGTATTTGCCTATTCTCCCCCGATAATTTAACCTTCTGCAATAGTAGTTCTATTACATCACTGACATGAGCATTCTTTGGAAGACGAATATCAATAGTATTCTAAAAATTGAATTATTAATCACTTAAAAATTATCTATCTCGTATTAATGCAAACATAACATCAAACAATAATGATAATAACATACCTCTTCCTTTATAGTGTTTCCAAGCCAAACCACCTTTAAGAATTTTTTCGTCTCAAGCTCCACTATACTAATATCCAACATTTCATAAAATAACAGATTGGTCGAAGGAACCAAATAGCCCGGTTGTAGCATTTCTTGTAATGTTTGGTTTGTAGTTCGTTTCACGACTGTCTTTGGACCACTATTGCCTGAAGTTGCTGTTGTGAATCGAAGCTTCATTGGATCGGTATTCAATCGCTCTGCAACAGAGGTAGCAACCTATTATTCATAAATTAATAATATAGTATTATACTTAATTACAATAAATCGAAATACGAAGCAAAAAATAGTACCTCATCATAATTCATTTTTTTGTTCAAAACTAACTCAAATTCAGGTTTTAATTCTCGATCCCTAAATTTTGGTTTGAACTGAACAACAATTCTACATGTCAAATGTTCGTAGAATTGAGGAATGGTGGCAAGTCGACCTTCAGCTTGGTAATCTTGTATTCTTTAAATAAAGATATTTCTGTATGAGCATCATCAAACATTTGTGTAAAGTACGAATCATCAAAAAGTAGCAATAACAATAAATTGAAATAAAAAGTCATTACTCTTTTTCGGTTAATGCTTTTGTAAAGCAAATGATATCACCATCCTGAATTTCAGATTGCTGAAAAGTTGCTTTTGTCTTCATTTCTTCAATCATTGTCGGTTTGATTTCCTAACAGAATTTTAAGTTAGTTTTTAATTGACTTGGGCTTGAGATAAGACAAGAGGAAGAATTTACCTCATATAATTTCAAAGGGGTATTTGTTGGAAACCCTTTTTTTTCGCATAAAATTGGAAGAATATCTCCAACTTTACCAAATTTTTGGATGTAAAGATGTCCGAGACCTCTACGATTTATGGATGAATAAATTATTATTTATTTATTTATTTGTGAAGTAAACTCAAATATATGAATAATTTATATTAATAAATAATAATGAAACTTACTCCAAAGACTGAGATTCAGGATCGAAATACTTCAGGAACACCATTGTATGAGCGTTACCTTCCGATGGGAAATACTATAGAAAATAATCAATTTATCTTGTCTCCCTAGCATCTTGAAATTAACAGTCAACAAAAAAATATTCTTGCATATAATTACTTTTCCATTAGTGGGCTTGTCTGCTATTTCCAAGTAAAGTTTTAAGTCATTTTGCCTTGAAGCCATCTTTCCATAAATTTCTTCCATCGCTAATAGAGAATGTGATTCAATAAATTAATTAATTATTTTTAATATTATTCTTTAAAAAAAAATAAACCGGCTAATCGAAGCGAGGCTTACATGAACCATAGTGATTTTCGTTTATTGGGGCATCAGGTCGCACTGTTTTATTCTGACGATTCACCAGAACCCATAGTCGAGTAGCTTCAACTGGTACATTATGCATCTCGGCAATCTTTTCTCTAAATGCTCCATAAGTTTCAGTTTTTAAGACTCTTGTCGTGGGGATATTAGAAAGTGGGTATTGACGATCGTCAAAGTTGGCGAGATCAAATCCTTGATGTGTTCTGCATGACTCATCTGATATAATCTTGTATTAAAAAAAAATAAATATATTTTTGTTCGATACTTTTTAATTTTTAATACAAGAATTTGTCGTGTGAATTCATTTAGAAAATTACCTTAACATTTAGATATAAATGCATTTCTTCTCGCTCCTTTTTCTTCTGTTCAGCAGCAGCTTTTTCGTCATCGAGACGTTTCTCTATCAAAATTACAAAAAAAATTAGTGTTTTGAAAATCACTTTCAAAGCTCAACATTCCAAGGCGATGAACCTACGCAATTGTGGTGGTATATCTTCGGGGAGAACAGGAGCGAGGATTTCGTCGATATCAGCTTCGCGAATATATATCAGCATATATGCATTAGTAAAGCGTTTATTATTGCGACCAGCTGGTCGAATGGGATGTGGATTGGAGGTGATCTCTCCTCCGTAGTTATCTTCCAAGACCTCTCTTTCTGTTACAGGAGTTACACGATCGTCATCAAACTTAAGCCTGTGCTCAAAAAACGAACCCTTTTAATATTATTGTTGAAATCTATTTAGACACATTCACAAATAAACGCAGACCATTTTCCGTCTTTTTCTGGTTTTATCAGAGCGAAATAGTGACCCGCCTGAGAATCACCGCTATGAACTAACACGCTATGAATCAAAAAAAAATTATATTAAATTTAATATGGATAATTATTATAACAATCAATAAAAAAAATTTTATTCCTAAATGCAAACCCATGTAATAAATATTTTGGTGGTTTAGATCTATCTGCTTCTGGAGATAAATATTCATCAAGGTCAATTTCCATAGGAAATTCATAACGATCATTAATCTATGTAGAAAAATATAAAAAATGAATAAAATATCTGGTATTCTTGTGTGAACTTAACACATGTTAAAATTTCTAAATATGCGTACCTTAATCATAATGCCTCTTTGCAGGTCATAGTCAAATCTTTTCAGATGCAAATGCAATACAGGAGGAAAACTTTCGAATATTACTCCTTTTTTAGCATCCTATAATAATATTTTTTTTATTGCATAATAATTCAAAACATTATATGCCATAAAAAGATTAAAACAATAAAAAATTTTGAAGTGATCATATAATAGTTCCTTACTTGTAGACCAAAACCTTCAGCACTATATCGATTTTCCCCCTCTAATGTTTCCTCTTTAATATAATCGTTAAATGAGTCCTTTAAAGTCTTAAAGCCTTTTGTCACCAATGAAAGATCTATATAAATGAAAAAATAATGAGAGAAATTCAGACTTGAATCATAGATATATAATCAATAAAACACAAACCGTAATAATCTTCAACACGCGACGATTCAAATTCTACATTGACACATTTAATATAACTCTTCGTTTTTCCAAGGAATAACTTAGTTATGGCACCTTCCACTTCGGTATGCTATTCGTGGGTGGGATTAGCAAGTTTCTAAATTTTCACAATTAAAAATAAACGAAAAAAATCTACCTTCATCTTTTCTTCGAGGTTCTCTTGCAGAACTCTATTCAATTCTTGAACATCATGCTGTGTAAACGACTCCAATGAATCCCAACCGAATGATTTTGTGAGTTCTGTGGTACCGACGGGAGTATCTGATGTTTGCAACAGGTAAAAGACTCGTTGAAGCGCAAAGGAGACACTCTTTACGGGTTCATCATTTGGGATTGGAATTTTATACACGGCCTATCAAAAATTTCAATCAAAAAAAAAATTAAAATTCGATTTCTTAAATTATTAAATTATGTTGTAATACAAATAAAAAATGCGCGCCTTATACCTTCCGAAAATAATTTGTACAATACAGGGATTGCAACAGGGAGTTCATGTAGCAGGTGGCGCCTTGATTCTTGAGGCCTACATAGCCAGTCTCCTTCTTTGAATCATAACTGTATGCAGAGGTTAACAACAACGCCAGAAGTATTGAAGGTATAGCCCAAAGCAGACAGTTTGGATTTAAGGAGCGAATGAATGAAAGAAACGAGTTCAAATACTTGATAAAATTATGCCATAAGACGCCAGTCGGATCTTTCAAGACTCGTACAAAAGCCGTGATATTCGTTGAATCATTCTCAATCAGCGGGCGCGTGCGATTGTCGGACGGTGTATATAATTTTCTCATTTCGTAAAATCGTGTAAATCCCCAATCCGATTCCTCCGCCGTAAACCTGTGATTAGCATCTTTTATGAGGACGATGCAAAAGTAGTAAGTGCAATATCACGATTCATCATGAAAATGATAGAGATTTAAAATAAGTACTTACTATGTTCTACATACTCTGATGGGTCATCTGGATTCCATAAAACTAAACCAAATTGAACGCACGAGTGCCAGCCTGGTGGCGCACCTTTGGGATCAGCAAAATCAAGATATATCGATACTGTATCTGTATTGTTGTTCCCAAATGGAAAAAGCAAGATACGCCTATTGAAGAATTATGGCATAAAAAATCTTTAGCCTGTCTGGAAAATCAAACATCTCGTAGAATAATTATCAGTAGAATTAACCATTTCCAGCCACCAGCCTCAAATTCGGGCCCTGTAATTCTTTTCTCCAAAGACTTCCATCCAGTAATATGCCATGTGCTATATTGAAAATCTTCTACTTCGTATCCCAGATCGGGGAGGAGCTTATTAGCGAAGGCTTCATCTAAAATTCAGAGAAAATTATTTTTCATACGTCAAATCCTTAATTATCATGTAAAACCTCATCTAAAATTCAGAGAACATTATTTTTTTTAAACGCCAAAATCCTTAATTATTATGGAAAACCATAAAATGAGTTAACTTGACAAAAGACTGAATCAAATTCCGCAGCAGCCACCTCAAAGCACCACCCTTAAAGGTGGTTGTTGAATTCGCGAAATTACAAAAGCAAAGAAATTAACGTACAGTCTGTTACAAGGGTTGGGGTTTCTTCTACATCAGACATCGACCTGTCTTGTTCAACAGGCGTTGATTCAACAGACACGTCCATTTGATCACTCATTTCATCAAAGGCAGTGAGAGTATGTTCTCGAGGGTTAAAATTATTGTAAAAATGAACAACTTTGTTGATTTTCGAGATCACAAGCTAAAAAGGTTACAGTTTACGTCATCCGATTTAGTGGCCTATCAAATTTCTAGTTACGTAATTTTGAATTACCCAGGTATTCTCTTATCGTTATACCATAATACAGGTATCAGACTTGGAGATAATCAAAAGAGCAGAAGGCTTAAGGTTGGAGGCTTATAAAGACTCTTGCGGAAAACTCCACGATAGGGTATGGACACACCGGTTCCGATGTAACTGAAGGCCTCCCGATTACCAGAGAAAAGGCCAAATCCCTCCTCGAATAAGACGTACGGACTAATGTAAACGTTGTGAATAGACTAGTGAAGGTACCACTCACTCGGTCTCAATTTGATGCTTTGGCATCATTTACGTATAATGTTGGTGGTAGAAATTTAAAGAATCAATTTTATTGGTCAAGCTCAATGAGGGAAATTATGAGGAGGCAGCTAATCAATTCGATAGATGGGTTTATGCTGGTGGAGTAAAGATTAACGGATTGGTTAATCGTCGAAACATGGAAAAAGAACTTTTTTTAAAAAGGGGGAATGATATTTAGCATTAAAGAAATAATTTTATCTACTTTTTTTTACTGTTTAAATAAAATCTACCGATTCCGTAAGGCATAATAAAAAATAAATGAAATTTCTCTTTAAAATACTTTTTTTGGGATGGTAACAGTTCACATAAAATAATGAACATTGTTCAATCGGACTAATAATCTCAGATACGCAAAATACTTACAAATATATGGAAGGAAGGCGACCAACACCACCAAAATGTTATTAAATTATAACGTCATCATAATCTTTTTTGCATTGAATGGCTTGCGTTGACTGTATGTACGCGCGCTGAAAAACAAAGACGGATGAATATACATGAAAATTTGATTTTATCGTACCTCTCCCATTTGTCGACGTCATTGAACAATTAATTAATTTCCACCCTAAAAAATATTAGGCGTGTTTCGAATGAAAAATTAAGAGATGCTAATTACCAGCCTGAGTATACTCACGCGTATCGTCAACATCCATCCATCCGTCCATCCATCTTTTAATACCTCCTTCGATTTTGTGGAGATCGAGAACGTCTTCGGCGTCTATCTCTATCTGGAGATCGCGATCGTGATCGATGGTCATATGAGCCACGGCGTTCACTTTTCAAATGAAATTAATTATTAGGAAAATACCTTCAAGAAAAAATCAATTATAATAAAAAAAAGAATATCTCACTAATCGTGTCTTCCTCGATCTCCTCGCCTATCACGTTCGTATACACGATCTCTGTCTCGGTCCCTCTCCCTTTCCCTCTCCCTATCCCTATCTCGATCTCTTTCTCTCTCTCGATCACGGTCATTGTTATATGATGGACGCGAATCGTCTCTAGTATCAGTTCGTGGTTTATTTTTCTCTCGAAGCTCTTTCAATAAGTCGCGTATTTTCAAGTAGCCAATATGCATCTAATGGAGATGGATAAATATATAAGACAAAGATATAGCCTCTACCACTTGAAATAAGAAAGACAGAGACTCCAATATTTTACTTTGCCTCCAAAGTGATCAGCTAGTCTGCATTAGATAATAAGAATTAGCTTAATATTATAAGGTATCTGAGTAGCAGCACTAATTTGTAATGAAGAATTACCGTCGATCAGAGTCAAAAATAGACAAATAAGCACTGCAAATTTCACAGACGCGCAATTTTTGTTGCTGAGAAGGTCCTCCTCCTTCTACCGAGTTCTTGAGTTCTTTCTAGAGAGTGAGCGTTCGTATTATTTGAAGTTTTCAATGAATAAATCATGAATTTTATGATTTTAAAAAATCCGAGCAAAACCTCCTTCTCAAGTTTAAGCGCTTTCTTTACTTCCACATCTTGTAATATTTTCAGTGACTCGGTTACTTTTCCCTCCTCACCTGTTCACGAAAGACGAGCAGATTGAACATCGTCAGGTAAAAAGGAATATAAAAATAATTAAAAAAAAGAAAATAGTCGATTCATACCAAGAACTTCGACTTCTTTGGTCAATTCTGCGATGTCACTATCCAAATCAGAGATTTCTTGCGCCTGAAAAATAATTTATTAAGATGAATAGCTCTGTCCCATTTACAAGATAATATTCGTATTGTACCAATTTTGTAGTTTTTGCACTGTCCTCCGGAGTCTTGTCTAGACGTCTCTGCGCGCTAGAAATCTTTCGATCACAATCTTGCACAAAATTCGCGAGATTACGCTCGAATTCTGCCTCAAAATTATATTCTTTTCGTGCTCTAGCCTCTTCATATTCATTTTTTAAACGTTCAGAATGCATTTTGGGACACGCACCGAGATCCATTTTCTATGTAACAGAAAGTAAGATTATCTTAATCATCAATGAAATTTTATACTTTTTCAATTCATATATAAATCAAAGAAATAAACTCACAGTATTACTTTTAAATAAATGAATCAAATTAAATAGTTTTGTTAATTAAACATTCATGGGCAAATAATTTGCAAACTTTGAAGCTTACGTAAATAAGTCATGCGGACAAAGGCCACAAAGATAATTTCTACAGACTTCATTTTCCCAAAACTTTAGGTTATCAGCTGCACCACTAGCATATTCTGACCCCATGAGCGCCTGTTTTCAGAGAAGAGCTCCATTAAGACAAAAAGAAAATTTACAATATTTGTGAAGATGAAAAGCGTGCAAAACCGAACCTCCAATGCTTTTCTCGCTTCTGCAGCCATGTTGAACACAGCTTTAACCTAATTTACTTTGAACGAGATTCGATATTTGAACAGTCACAAGTTTTTTTTTTATTTATTGTTTGGCAAATTAATTCACGTGAGAGAAAATTAAACCAAGTGAAATAGGAATATTTCTCAGCAAATCGATTATCCCACAATTTGTAACAATTATATTAAATTATACAAATATTCTACTATGACGCAAGAGGAAACCGGTAACGACTGTACTTTTCAGGATCTATGAATAGTAAGTCACCCGTCTGCGTTTTCCAAACCAGACACACTGCTTAAGCTGGATGATGATCGAGAGTGCCCCATCCTTAAAGAGAAGTGTGTGTGTGATTTACTTGTTAAGTCACGCGCAGTTAATGATCTTGCCTGCACTTTCCAAGGTGTATGGCAAGGATGTCGGCACGTTCTGACAGCCCACCCAATCAAAATAAATAGAGTTTTAAAATTAATCCAGATAACGAAAAATTATGTCATCTCTGTAGTTTTAATATTAAATATTAAGCTTGTGACTTTTACTCAGTCTCCCACTCTTTTTGTTTAATAGTGGTTTTCTTTCGCTGTTACAATACTTGAAAAAAATGGAAATATTCAAGTTGGTTTTTATTTTTTATTTGAGTAGATTCATGCTGTTATACCAAAAAATTTGCATTTATTACCCGACGAAAGTAATGTCGGTGAGATTTTTAGGAGAAAATTTTAATAAATGACTATTGAAAAAGCTCTTATTTCCGAGTAAAGTATTATGCCTCAAACATTTGAATTTAGGTGGGAATGCTACAAACAGCAATATATATATATAACCCTTGATGCTTTTTTTCGGGTCTGTACTGTCATGCATATTTTTTCTATATTGCTATGAAGAAATTTGCTGATGATTTAGAGATCTGGAATGGAATCTATTAATAAATATTCGCACACTTAACATTTTATTTGATCAATATTCATTCCTCGTCTTCATATTTTTTCGGGTCAACCCCGTGAAAAGGATGATTAACAAAATTGAACCACGGAAGCCAAGCTATTCCAACATCGTATTAACAATTTCAGTAAAAGAAAGAATAATCCAATTAAAGGAATGCAAATCCCACTTACAAAATTTCAAGGCAGCGTATCGAGACTGCCTGGCTGCAGACGCTTGATTAAATAGGTCCAAATCGGATTCGCCATATAGAGATTTACCTTCTTTCAGACGCTGCTTCATTTCTTTCATATCAAGATCGTATTCTCGTTCGTTTTCTGTCCAGCCCCAAAATCTCACTTTAATTTATTAATTTATGCCACCGTGATAATAATATAAATCATTCAATGTGGGAAGAAATCGTTTCGAGAGAATGTAATATTTAGCGTAACACTTACAGCTACTTCGTTGGTACGCAAGCAAAAAGCCACCCATTGCACCAAGTAAAGTCGCGATTTTAAGCGGGACTCCCAAGCGCTGATATGTAGGCGACACTTTCTCTAACCATGCACATAATTTTCAAAATTCCAAGTTTGGAAACTAGATAGGAAAGAGCTATACACATAACAATAACTCTGGACTAAAGAATAAAAAAAAATGTCTCTATAGCGACTAACCAAAAGCTAACATGAAGGCAGGACCTCCTACTGTACACGCGGTCCACACAGCATAGTCCGAAGATCGAAAATAACGTACCACACGTAGAAAGTGCGGGTCTGTGTCAATAACCGGATAAGCGGTGTTGATTTTTACTTCTGGCATTTTGATAGACAAGACATTTATTTTTTCAAATTTTTTCTAGAACCAATTCTTATAAGAACAAATCACGTGTATGACGTATATTGTGCTTTCCCATTTCAATTTTCAGTTCGAAATGACATAAGAATGTTTATTCTATATGGAGGTAGAACATCTCTGTATAGGAAAAGGATTTTCGACGCTTATAGTGATTGTATCTATTATGCAAATAGCGAAACATTATGAATCAGAACACACATTTCCGCATTCTCGGCCAGGTTTTCTGTCCTGAATCAGGTTTACCAGTACAAGTAAAAAGCATTAACTCAGAAGTGTTGGTTAGTATTTCTCAAATAATAATCGAAGACAAAGAAGGAAATACCACACTTCCAGAGCAAGAAGAAGTAGTAATGAAAGAAGCAAGTTCAAATAATGTTAGTGATAATACCAGCAAAAAAAACAATAGCGGCATCTTTATGGAGCGTATATGTTCGCTAATATCCTCAAATTTAGATCGACAGGATTTACCATCGTCTGTAAAAGAAAAATTGGCGGTTTTTGATTCATTGGCTCGAAGAAAGAAAATGACAACGGGTTTAAGCCCGAATGAGGGGCCCGTTGATAGCAATGCAAGCGTATATAACGTTAACAACTCGCTGCAACAATCTGCATCACTTATCAATAAGGATTTTACACTACAACAAAATCCCAGAGATACTTCAATTCAACGAAAAGGTGATATTGTTGAATCTTCCTTATCATCAAAAATTTCAAAACAAAAGGAATCGGCTCAATCAGTAGTCATGGAATCCAATGTAACTCCATTCAAAAGAAATTCAAGCGTAAATACAGATTTAAACAATTCATCGGCTCCAAAAAAATCTAAGGTTAATTCAAATCATCAAAAAGGTGATGAAAGATTCGCAACAAAAACCAGTACGAGTTTTTCATCAAAACCGTTGGAGCCTAAAACAAGACGGGATGTCGGACCAGAATCTAATTCAAGCACTCTCCCCGCAAATCCTTTTAGTAACATCTTTACTTAAGCAAAGAGACATTAACATAACAAACACATCTATGCAAAATCTGTGACGATCATTATAGATGACGACTAGTTTATGTGGATCTAAATTACCTGAGTTGATTAATTGACGAATGAATTTTTCAGAATTGATTTTTTTTTTGATATGTTTTGTGATCTATTATGTAATTAATCGATCCTCTTACCTAGCTTCTAATCTAGGGTCTTATAACAAAAACTTGCTTTTGAACATTGTATAATATCCGGTACTATTAATGGCTTCAGAAAATTTCATGAGTTGAGAAGTGAGTATTTTGATTCTGGCTGGAGTACCAGAAGCAATCCTTTACGGTATGTAGAACCTAGCTTATATATAGGATCTCGTTGTTTGCTAATATAAATGTAATTTATTATTTATTATTGAACAATAATATATTATTATGCTGTCGAGAATACTCAATTAATTTATAGTGTGTATCATATATCTTTAAATTGAGTCACATATTAATTATTAATTGAAATAAATAATGATTATCGATGCAAATAAACGTTACGATAATCTTAACGATTACTCAATTCTCTTTTTCTCCGCGGCACGTTCGACATTGAAGTAGCAAGCAATAAATGCTATCAAGCTACCGATGACATGTCCCAAAAATGCGCCAATCACGCATGGAATGGGCCACACCTACATTATTACATGAAAACGGCGGTAAAGTAAATATTTGCGATCAAATGGCTCTTGCTAAGTTCTCATTTACCTGCCAAGGACGATCCCAATCCAACGGTATCACAACAGCACCCAACCAAGCGCCCACCACTGTAGCCACCGTAGGATAATAAATTGACTTTTCTGGTATTGTCTCTGGACTTGGTAGTTAAATATTAATTTATTGATTACGCTCACTAGAAGCCTATAGAAGATATCATCATATTTAATATATACTTATTATCCGAAAATATTCTTGCCCATGCTGGACCATTTTCTCTTAGTGCGCATGCAGATGGGAATATCGCTAGCAGTGATACATAAATTGCAAATAACCACGTATTTTCTATTTGGCTGCATGCAAAAAGATAAATCAAGTGAATAACTGAGTTTGAGTCTGAGATTTAATTCTTAATTGAATTTTACCTGAATAAGGGAGCGCCAAAAAGCACGGCAATTAAGTGAAAAGCAAAGGACCCGAGTAGTGTAATTCCTACCGCAATAACAAAGTACTATATTGATATATAAATCAATCGAGTCTTCGATTATTTAATCAATGGATATACAGAAAAGAATAAGCAACAACATCACACCCACCCACTGCCGTTTCTCTATCATATACCGAATTTTTCCCATAGAAGTTTTTGAACTTTTCGCATTGACATCATCACCAATTTCACTTCCATCATCCAACAAAACAGTCCATCGGGCAACCTCAATCAATGATTGAACTATGGCCAATATTATCACCGTCGATTCCAAAGATTTCACCGGATCATCCAGTAATTTATGAGATGGCAATTGAAAAAGTGCGAGTGTTGATAAAATTATTTGTGATAATGTTATTATAAGATGCGGGATAGGTTTGAATGAAAATAGTTTTGAGGATTGTGTTAATGCTATAGAGCTGGATGAAGTTGATGATGGACTATTGGAAGTTGATGTTTGTGCAGGTTTTCGAATACGTGAACTCATCATTTCAAGAAGCAATTGTTTTTAGTTATTTAAATTATTGACAATATTTACTTGATCGATAATCAATTTAAATTAATTGTTTAACTAAGATCAATTTATAACAGATATTATTGCATTAGACTCGGCAAAAACTCACCCTTTAGTCTATTTGTATTCAAAATTAAAATTTTCTAAGCCTCGGTTTTCATTTTATATCTTTAATTGGAATATTCTAGAAATGTCATGTTACCAATGTCTGCTCTCACGTGTCATTAGCACAAAGTTTGTTAAATCACAGGTTCTGAATCAGTTGATCAAACGTTGAAGTAACCGTTTTCCGCGAAAGTTGAAAATATGAATAAAATAACAAAAGCGAAAAAATAATATTTGTAACAAAAGGCAACGACATCATATAGCTATAATTAAACAATTTCTATCAATTAACTGTTTATCTATGATAAAGACATTTTGCACAAAAAACCCTATTTAGTCTTTAATGTCGATTTTACATTATCGTGTTACTGTAGTCTGACGAAGTATTCAGTCTTGTTCAAATAGTTATCAAATGTTTTAATATCTCATAACATTATTCATCGTATGTCGATATAAAGAATTATGAACACAAATATTTGACAAATTAGATGATAAATATATAGTATGTATATAATACATACGCTTACTTTCACAACTCAACGTCAAATCCTTGTATCGGTTCAAATATATTATGCACAGCAGTATTTGACTGACTTTATGGAACCGTAAATGCCGCATGAAAAATTAGAAACATTTCTGTCAGAATGAACAGAGGTTCTGATTACAGAGAAAAAACGCATTGGCCCCCAAAATGATATTGTAGTCATCCCGGTAACGCGTGTATGCTAACGTCACGTGAAAGCGGATATTAGTTTGAGGGTAATAACAATAATTGTCACACTCCTTAGAATGAACATATAAATGTCAAAAAAAAACCTTAACCATAAATACATAAAAATAGTTTCGAAATTGTAACTAATATAAAAACATAATTAATGTAATAAAAAGATGCAACTTTAGTATATATATATATACACATATATATATATATATATATATATGTATGTGTGTATGTATGTATGTATGTATCATATAACGACATTACTGTACCCTAAATTGATGATTAGATTAATAACGATAAATTTTTGATTAATATCTCTAATTGTAATATGATTTCGCAATTTCTTCATTCTCTTTTCTACCATTATTGCTATTGTTGCTTGACGATATATAAGAATTAATTTGTGGTGGCTGTTCTGCAACAGCTATTGGTCCATCTTCCATAGAAGTTAAAGGAACTTGTTGATGGTGATGATGATAGGTCAAGGCTCCACCATGTGGTCAACCGAGATGTGGTTGCAATTGATAATCAGCCATTGCCTATAATTAATAATAGGTGTTAATAAAAAATAAAAGCTAAACGGTGATAAATAATAAAAAACATACAACTGGATTAACAAGTTGATTCATTTCGTGTTCTTGAGAAGTATCGAGATGAGCGACTTGAATCACAAATGTCTTTTCAAGCTTATATACAGTGTCACCGTGATAATAGTTGGCAATAGCTGTTACTTCACAACCTTGGGAATCGAGACCTGGAGTACCAGTAAGAATATTATTTTCCCAATTAAGCCAATCTGGCAGAACAGGCGAGTGAAACACAGCCTTTATTGCTATTTAAGCGCAAAAGAGAAAAAAAGGATTATGGATGATGAATATATAACAAAAAGAACTTTAAATTGTGACTATATTTACATTTAACATTCACTTGAGGATCCCAAACTCGTGGTGCATAAGTATATCTTAAGCCAATATATGCAATTTTGTCTGGAATACCAGCTATCTTTCTTGTGAATTCACGAAATATCCATCCACCTGTAGGAATTTTCTTAGCTTCAATGTTCCAGACGTGATTTCCCTTGCTCTTTGCTTTCTTTCCGTCTTCATTAAATCGGGAAATATATCTGTATTTAGTAAAAATATTGAATCTATTAGACAAAGTTCCCAGATTCAAAAATTAACAATCAAAATTCTAACCTTTGAGTCCACAAGTAATTCTTCACCTTACGCAGAGGTAACATTTCTTCAGTAAATCCAGAACGCATTAATTCTTCATAAAATGCATTAGTGAAAGCTTGAATACGAAACTTGAATGGTCGAAAATCAGGTGATTCATCTAATTTCTGCATTTTCTTTGCCATCAATGTTTGATGTCTAGCAAAAATTAAAGATTATGAGATTATTATTTCAAAAAAAAATATATATATATATATATAAGTATATGCTTACATTTGTTCTCCTTTTGAATCCATCGCATTCACTAAATAATTTCGATATCAATGAAAATGTCTATTTGGTAATAAAATTTATGAAACAGATTCCTGAGAATTATAAAAACTTACAATTTGAGCAAATGTTTTGCAAGAAATTAAGAAAAATAGTATCAAGACGTCGGATGAGCTCTGGATCTAAAGGAGCATGAGTATGAGTGCGAGGAGTTGATGGAAGTACAACAGGACTCGGTGTTGCAATGGTAGATTGAGATGCACGGCTCAAATCGTTGGTAGTATACTTAATTATATCGAAAATCATGTCAACAAGGAACAAATTCCAATAATAATGATAATAATAATAATAATAACAATAATAATTATTTTCAAGACATACATACATTAACCGGATAAATTTCACTAGTAATTGTTGGTGCATCTTCTATTGCTGTTTTTATTTGCTTTCTCGGTTTGTCAGTTTTCGTCGTCACAGCTCTCTATAAGATCCAAAATATCAGAAACATATAATAATGATACGTATATTTCTATAATATAAATATGTTTGTTACCTTGTTGGATTTTGCGGTAGTTACAGTGGTGGGAGCAACAGCTATAGTATTTTGCGGAGGATGAGACACCGGAGGAGTCATTGAGGTCGGCAGATGCTTTTAATTTATCAAGATCACAAGAGGACAAGATGGTAATTGGTTAAATAAAAGGTTGTTCAGATGTTTCGTTTTTTAATGAAAAATTCGCTCTAAAGATGTTCAGAATCAATTGACAAGTTTTGGGAAAAGAAACATATATCGAATATTTTATATTTACATCGTTGACAAAAAGCAAACTATGTACAACCGAACAACGATTTCATTGCTCATTTTCGAAAAGTACTCTTTTTTGATGAGGAAAAATCAAGAATTTGCACGAAAAAAACAAGATTTACCAAATCTGCACATTTAGCTTTGAAATCTTTTAATACGTCAATGGTTTTTACTATCTCTTCGAGACGGTGAAAAGCTTCCGACTCGAAGCCACGATCAAACTGATCACGTGCTTGTTGCGCATTGAGAATTATGCTGAATTAAAAGCAGAAAAAAGAGTAAAGAGTGTCAATAGCAAAATAACGACTAAATTGCTCTTTAAGGCGAGCAAGACGAAGACTGAGCAACAAAAAACAACTACTCTTGATTTTTCAAACCGTTTTTACGGTTTCGATGTTTTTTATTGCGGTATGGTAAAGTAACGCTTTTAAGCACAAGGCAAAAACAGAAAAACTAAATCCACATACCTTTCAAATAACTGGGTTAACTTCATTGAACACTTTATGGAGTTTTCTTATAGTGGGGTTCGTTTCTCTTTAGGGGTGGGGACGCTTTGTGAAAAGAGGCCTCTTGGAAAGAGGGGAGGGGACTTGTGCGTGTAAGAAAAATTAGCGACGGAGCTTTTTGCAAATTTTGAAAGTAGATAAATGATGAACGTGACTATCCCATATAGAAATGATTGGTGGATTGATTTAAATATGGCCTTTCCGGGGTTAGATTTTCTTTTTATCTTTGGTTTAAATTTTCGTTCACAAACAAAACTCAAATCCTGAAATTAATCAATTTTATGTTTATTGACATCATTGTTTTTTTAAAAAAAATTCCAAATGAAGCAAATTTGTATATTTTGTATACATATAGTTTGTTTAGTATCTTGTATTTAATAAATTACCGAGTTTTTTTAGAATAATAAATACCATTAAAAATGACGCCTTTTATTACTGGTTAATATTATATAACTAACGAATTTACTTAAATTAAATAAACGAAGCATTATTTGATTATTATTTGATATTATTAATAATAAATTCACTCTTTTTATGATCCCTTATACAGATCTAGTTATACTCTCAGTAGTCCAATCGGGGACCTTGCCCGAATATTTTTCTCTAGCTATTTCAACTACAGTCGATTTTAGAGATCCTATTAACGAGCCTTTATTAAAAAAAATCAAATTCATTAAGCTTATTGTCGTTTTATTAAGCAAACAAACTGCAGCATAAATTACTTACCACCAACCCAAGCACGACAATTAGCAACAAAAACTTTACCGCTGCTTTTTTCTTCTAAAAATGCGATATGATCTCTAAGTCCATTCAAATTCTTGAATCGCCTATCGGTGTTTAACGCAAGAATTATTTCTTGATATAATCTAGTCTGGAAATTTGGTAAAAGAGTAGTTCCTCCAATCAACAGTATAGAAGCAGCAAGGGGTTGACGAAGATGTATTGGTGTCTAATATCGATAACAATAATTCATTAAAGAATGATAAAACAAAAATAATAGAAGTCATCAATCGACAATGATACCTTTAATAGGCATTCCAATAAACACCCTACAATACTTGATTGATCTTCATCTCCTTCAAACAACACTTCAGCTGCTCGCTCTCTTATCCAACCTGGCAATACAAGTGTTCCCATTTGTCTTTCTCTGCCATGCTTACTTAACGTGATTGGATAATGAATCTCGGTAGCTGTACTAATTTTTGCATATTTTTTCTCGTAATCCTCTTCGAGCGTTTTTTCTGCACCGGAAACCAATTCAGAAGATATTACCATGGGTCCAACGAAAAGAAATCGAGTTTTTATATCTTCAAGGACGGTTGGTGTTAGATATTTAGAGGGGATAGGTTGTCGATCGGTAGATGGGGGAACAATTATCTTCCCATATTTGGTAATAAGCTCTTTAAGTGTTTGAGTAAGAGCACGACCTGCTAGCGGAGTAGTCCTGATAAAAGGATTTAATGGTCTTGCACTAAATGTCTTTACAATAAAAGAATTATTCAATCGAAAATTGATTTGTATCCATGTATTATATTTGAATCCTTACTGGCATAACAGTCGTCTCTAAATGACCACAATCAACTACTAATCCCGTAGTGCATCCAGTGGTAAGTAAAGCCAACATATGAGACGGAGCAAACGATATTGAAGGGACCTAAATTTAAAGTTTCACGTTTTAAATGTAAAAAAAGAAATAAAAAATTTCTTTACTTATTTTATAATCAATACCTGTAGATTTTCAAAGAGTACTTTTGCAATTAGCTGTTTCAATTTCAACGGCATCATAGGCGATTCGCAAAGTATCACTTTACGTTGTTTGGGATCAGTCAAGAGGTATCTGAAATTATTCCATTATTCAAGCAGTGATGAATTTGATGAAACCACCTGGCTATATGCAATAAATTATTTCTCATTCTCTATTTTCACCTAAAATAAATATCGTGTAGATAATGTGCCATTCGATCATAGAGTGACTCTAATTCTTCCGAAGTTCTTCCAATGCTCAAATCAAACAATTCAGAAAACTAATTTTAACGCGCCAATAAATTTATTATTTTTCTTGAAAAATCAAACAACTCGTAATTAAATTCTTTACGCACTCCTCCAACAATACGGCAGCCTTCACCGCAATCTCTTCGTGACCCACCACTTCCTGTTAAATCTGGCTCCCAGTGTGCCTTCATATTTCCCGCGAAAATTGGCACAACATGTCGTGGCCTTGATTCACCACTAAAGCCAGCTTTTATGTATAAACTTCCAATATCTAAGACTATTCTGTCTTCTCCAGTTCCATAAATTGAATGTCTACGAGGAAGAGGGGCAGCCTGAGTTAAACTGACAGTAGATAATGTCGGTCCAGGAGCAGGCGAGGAAGGACTTATAACGCTTGTAGCCGGAATTGTAGTTGTTGCGGGCTGTGGTATGCTCGTGTTGACAGACAATGTGGGTTCACTGTTAGAGGTGGAAGTCATTTTTGTATAATGATTCTTATTTTTATTTGGGATCTACCTTATTTGAACTTTATAATAATGAAATCGAATCTTTATGGATCCATTACCCTGAAATCTTGATTCAACTCAAGTTTCTTGCGATTGAAGGAATTATCAGCAAATAAGATTTTTAGATAAAAAACGTTAAATTGTGACATAATTTTTGTGCGTAAATTAATAGTTTATAAGAATTTTAAGAATTAATGCGACATTATGGTTAGTGCGGGCCGGAGTTAGCGTTAATGCGAGAAATAGTGATAACGTTATCTATATATCACGTGAAAATAAAATTAATATTTTTGTAATAAATAATTGAGATAAGTTTTATTAGTAAAGAAGTGCTATAAATATATAAAATATATATAAAAGATTAATATAAATATTTAATAAAAAGTAAAAGTTATAATTATATCAAAATATATAAAAAGAATATTAAATTTTAATATTTTTTTTATTTTTATTAGAAAGTTTTTAATAATATTATATATATAGTAACTTTCATAATTATAAAATCAAAAAATTAATTTTATTAATAAAATATAGTAAAAATTAATTTTTTTTCTATATTAAACTTTATAATTTTATTAAGAAATAATTTTTATTTTTATATTAAAATAAAGTTTATAAGTTATAGTTTAATATATATTTTTTTCAGATTTTCAAGATTTTTTCTAAAAAAATTAATATAAAAATTTTTATTAATAAAAATAAATTTAATTAATAAAAATTTTGTATTAATTTTATAATTAAAATAATTCTTAGAAAAAATCTAAAAAATCTAAAAAAAATATATAATAAATTATGACTTATAAACTTTATTTTAATATAAAAATAAAAATTATTTCTTAATAAAATTATAAAGTTTAATGTAAAAAGAAAATTTTAATTTTAATATTAAAATATATTAAAAAATATAAAGTTAATATAAATAAAATTGAATAATAAAAATTTATTCAATATTTAATATTTGAATTATTTATTTAAAAATAATAAATACTAAATATATATATTCAATATCTAAAATATAAATAAAGAATTATATTATTTTATAATATATAAAAATAAAATATATTATAATAATTATTTTACTGATCATTTTTTAGAAGTAAAAGAATTAATTAAATTATATTTTTATCAGTAAATCTACTATTAAAATATAATTCTATTTTTTAATATATAATAGTAATTATAATATAATTTATAAACTTATATTTCAGATTTTATATTCTTATTTATATATTATTTAATCTTTTTTGAAGAATTCTATTAAGTTCTGATTATAACTTTATTCTTTAAAGTACTAAAATTAGATGATATATATAATATATTGATCAAAAAAAGTAATTTAACTATTTATATTACTTTCTTATATCTTTTTAATTCTTATCTTAATCAAGCTAATATATCTTTTAAATAAAAATATACTTTCATTTTTAAATTATATATTTAAAAAGATAATTTAGATCTCATCTAATTCATCTTACTTATAAATAATATCAGAAAATTATTCTCATAAATTCTCATAAATTAAATCTTTATAATTTATAAAAATCTTAATATTCTTTAAAATTTTAATTCTTCAGTTTTGCTAAATATCAATATTACTATTTTTATTTATATTTTTAATAGCTTGCTTGAAAATATTTATATTTATAAAAAAAAATTTTTAAAATATAAAATATATATATAAACTATATTATCAAAGTCTCTTACTCAAATTAAAATATATTATTATATTTATTCTTAAATAGAATAAATTATAATAAAATCAGATAAAGTAAATATTTATTATATAATATAAAAATAAAAGACTAATTATGATATAACTGTAAAATTAATTAGTATGACTGATAATTTTTTGAAAAGTAACAATAATACTTATTTATTATAAATTTATTAATTTTAAGATTTATTTTATCATATCAAAATATAATAAATATAAATTATAATATAATTAATATAGGATTATATTTATATAAAATATATAAATATAAAATTAATTATATCAAATCCATTATAGAACTAAAGAATTATAATATTATTCAAAATATTTTAAAGAAAACTCAAGAAGAAAAAATTATCTCTTATATTTTTAAAATTAATAATATCAAACTTTTTCAGAATTATTTAGATAAAAAAAATTATTTATAAAATTTATTAAGAAAAATAAAAAATAAAAACTAATAAATAAGTATTAATTTTAATTTATAATAAATTAAGAAATAATTTATTGCATATAGCCAGGTGGTTTCATCAAATTCATCACTGCTTGAAT